TACAAATTCTACACCTGTATAGCGATTTATCGTGCCAACTGCCTTTAAGTAAGGACTTCTGGTAGCCTCTATGGAGTTTCCGGACCTGCTCGATTAATGCAAGCAAAGCGATATCTTGCCGCCTCTTGCTCACTAATCTTCGCGTCATCCAGTGCTAATACCATCCAACAGTGAGAAAAACAAAACGTAAAACGTGGTGTAAAAACAGAACTCGTGACAGAAAAAAAGGCTGTACGAAGATGAGAAAGTGGGATAATCTCATAGACTGAGCACTACTTGTACAAGGAAGGATGCCTAAGAATTGCTCTAGCGCGGTGATTGTCTTTAGTTTTGTCGCTTTCTTTCAGGTAACACCAGCAGTTCTTTTTTGGGACGAAAGAGCATTAACTTCAACATACACTCCTCATGAAGCTCCATGCTTGCTGCAGATCCAGCTTTCCTAACGACCCACGTCGTTTGTGAGATCAAACAGGCAATTTTCCTGTTCCGACCAGAAATTCGTCTTCTGCCACGACCAAAGTGAATGTCAAGCAATGTGCACCATCCTCAAATGCGAAAGTGCAGTTTCGCTGCAGGCGTGGCAAAGAAGAATTAGATCTGGCGACAAAGGGCAGATTTGCGGCGTGGTATTCTCAGAGGAAGTGGTTTGAGCAAGGTAGGGGCAGATCCTTCCCGGTGCTACTAAGGAAGAAGCGAACAGGCAATAAATGAACTAGCAACAGAAGTGAAGAATGAGGTTCTCTAAGCCGTTAAAGTTTTTTTGAACGACTTCCACTGGATGAAGGACTTATGAGCAAGTTATTTCATTTTTGGCGCACCCTATAAACACTATCCTCCCTGGAGTGATGACAGTGTATCGATCTACCAGACAATCTTCGTGAGAAAAAAAACACGAGTACCAGACGATCCATAGTAAACGGCATAGTTTTTGCACAACCATTAATTAGAACTTTCAAGCATACTTGTTTAAATCGACTCCTTCTGCTTTCAATACGTTTTCTGAACACTTGGGCAAGCCAGTATGAAAGCCTTGTCTGGATTACGTCGAGTGTATTCCACAAGCAAACGACTGAAATAATATTTTCAGATTCATATTCGGACTGGAGTGGATTTCGATTGCTACCTCAATTTGATTTCTCCTTTGAAATAAGGAAGAATTTCTTTACTGAAGATTGTGACAATGCCATCAGCGGCTTTAGCGTAGGTGTCGGAGCTCAACAGTACTGACCAGTAAAGATCCATTTGGCTTCGTAAAGCTCTCCTAAAGAGTGGCTTTCAAAGTTGTTGCAGCATTTCAAAGCATAAGGAGGGCTGTAAAAAGGAAGCTGTGAAGCTTCAAGACTGGCGACAAACGCAGTAAACTACGGTGAAGAACCCTATGCCTCAAGACCTGCTCAAAAAACGCTTTTTCAGCGTATACTTTGACACTCTAACGTTACCATAAGTTCATGTTGAATTGACTCACGCCAAGTTTTCGGTCCACAAGAAATCGAAACGTGGAGGGGGCTTCCCGGCAGCCAACGCTCTGGAACAAAGCATTTTTCACCAGCAATCTTTCAACACATTGAACGCCGCGTGAATTGTAGGCAATACACGCGCATACTCCCGTTTCTCGCGTTTGTGTATTGCCCACAATTCACGTTTTGTGGATCGGTTTTTTCGTGGACAAGAGTGCGACTTGAACCATTCTCACGTCTCAGTGAGCTTTGTTTGCTTTAGTTCATTTATGGCTTGAATAAGTGCCCATTGAGTAATTCATTTAAATATTATCACGAATAATTAACAAGTCAGTTTGGGCGCTTCGGTTAGTGCACTTGCTCATGATAGCTCCGCATCGCATACAATGGTGCGTATGACTTTCTAGTGATAATTGGGTGTCAATTTGCCAACACATTTGATATCCTATCCGTAAGGGCCCTTACTACCACGCGACTCTCCAGTGTTCGACGCAGTCAGTTTGTTTATTCATTATGACAACAGTATTTATTGTGGGTCAAAGTGACCTTTAGATCTTTACGTTTGTCGACGATCCTCTATGCCAGCTAAAAACGAGTCATATTCCATACTAACAATTGCAAAAATGAGCGCAAAGTAACCACAATGTGCTTGTAAAGGGGCATGCGGCACAAAGACTCCCGTTTCGCGCGTTTGTGTATTGCACGCAATTCACGCGCGCGGAGACGCAGGAAGTAAAAACGGGAGTCGCCGTAAAAACGCCGCGGCGTTCAATGTGTTAAGCAAAGAAAGTTAATTAGAAGGACATTGAACACTCACGCTCACATTTCTTCTTATGAGTCACTTTACTGTTCTCAACAGCGGTCGTCACAGCTGAAAATGTGTTCTCGTGAAAAGTAAGAATCTCCTGTTATCCATGAGTAAAGACTTCGTTTAACGGTGATATGCTTTTTTTTCACTTCAAACAGTCATTCAACAGAGTGATGGACGAGTTAGCCGCCTGCCATGACGTGCACTCCACTCAGAAGTTCGCAGGAAACTCAGAGGACGAGCATTGAAAGAAGAGACGAGAATGAGGCATAAAAGGCGTTACAGAGGAATCCTGCAACCGCACACGGACATTTCTCACAAGCCTGTTACACTGAGCTTGTCCTAAATGGGCGGAGCTTGGCTGGACGCCGTAAGCACAAGGACACTGGCGGCATCAAAAAAAACTAAGAGCAGGCTGGGAAAAGCACTCTCCGAGGAAATGGAGACTTGCAATGGGTTATTGAAAGCACTGGGGACGACACTGGGACAGAGCTGATGGGTATGAAAGGCACTGGGCGAGAGACTGGATCACAGTGGTGGTGTGCGCTCTGCTAAGCATTAGCCTTGACGTAGGCAAGGAACATAGGCGTTGCCGCAACTCGCGAATCGCTGGATCGATACCTATACTTCCTAGACGCTCAAAATGCTGCCGCAGACGCTACGCTAGAGCGATGTCCATACTTTTCTTGTCGGTCCAAACACTCAAAACTCTGCCGTGCGTCCGAAACGCTCAAAACGCTGATGCAAAGTATGAACGCAGAGGGTTCAATTTCGAGCGCATAGAATTCATTCGGGAGGCCTTTGCCTTGACACTAAACAGGTCCCATGCCAGAAATTCATACTGCCGTATATACCACTACGTAAAGGAGAAGATGACGAACTATAAAAGATTAAAAACGTACCTCTAATTGTCGTTTGCTTCTCAGTCTCAAACTTCTCCGATATTTGAGCACTTGGAATGGTCATCGGACGCATGCGAGGTGGTAGTTTTGAGGCGGCCACTGCTTGTGCGAGGGTCACTCTTTTCGTCGGTTCCAGCGTAGTTGGTGGATTTTTAGACTGGAATGAACAAAGGATTTTCAAAGTGCATTTTCAAACGCTTGTGTACAGGGGGGCCAAAAAAGTCACTTTGCTTCATTGACTTTCGAGGCGCTATAAGTTACACTTTATTAAATTCTGATCGGACATTTTTACCACCATATTAAAGAGCATATTAAATACTATCATGACACTCCGCCACAGCCTTCTGGACGAGCGCCATCGAGAGATTCTGGCACGCGACCGCGATGTGGTGCCTGAGATCAGCGAGATAGTCGATTTCTCCGCCACCGTAGACCACCCTCCGCCCGAACCGGGTAATTGAGGGGATTCAGACAGGTGACCTACTTGGATCTTCTTTAGGTACTCAGCCCCCTTCCATTCCAAGTAGGCGAGAGTTTCTCCAATGCCCTTCGATTCCATGTGGTGGCACCCAATGCTGTAGCAGTACAAAGTTTCCAAGAAGGTACGGGCGACGACATGTGAGGAGGATATTCTTCACGAGTTGCTCGATGTAACCGCCAGCGCTCACCTTCAGTCCGGGCCACGAAGAAAATATTGGTCTTTCCATTCCAGGTACGTCCGGTCCATACCATCAACCCGCGCCTTGGCGACTGTGGTGAAGATGATGTCCTAGACCGTGGCGACGTTGTCGGAGCTGCTCGATGTGAGGTCATCCAGATCGAGAGTACTGGTCTCCAGGTAGCTATCCATGGGTGACTCCATACTAGAAGTTTCGCAGCTGTTTGGAGGTGACATGAATTCCAAGGTCTTCTCCAGTCAGGCTGCGACTGGAGATGACTTCATATTTTGGTGTACATGAAGGTGATGGGCGAGAGCCAGCTCCTGCTTATAGGAACATCTTGGGTATCTTCCGCCCTGGTACTCGTATCCACGTCCTCTGTCTGGGCAGCGAAAACTTTGCTGATATGTGACTCGGTCGAAGTGACTTTTTGCCCCCCCCCTGTATATAGAGCATAACACATTCATTTTCAGCAGTTTACCTGGGTTACACTCGAGGTCTCATTTATCGAATCTGTTCCATGACTGGCAGTTTTATTAGAGGTAGAAGTCGACGGGACCTGCTTTGCAACACCATTCACGCTCTTGTGCTCGGAAGACTGTTTCGATGCCGGCTTCATACTGGAAAATGGATGATAAGTCAACCGCGAACCACTACTTGGAACATTAAACAACCTCATGTCATGCCACTTTAGAAAATCTTCGTAAGTGATGGACTCGGTTGCAACTTTTTTCAGCACTTCTTGCAGTTCTCCCACTCTTCCACTGAAAGACGGAAGACCAGCCACATTCGTGATCATCGCTTGAGCTGCCTAAATCCGAAGAGGTCAAACTCATTTGTCACAAGGCCGGCAAAAAGTTTCGAAAGGACAACCCTTCCACCTCTTTTTCAAAAAGAACTTATAGCGCAGGAGTTAGGCAGTTTGTATTGTTATCATTGTGATAATTATGGGACCAGTGTTCGAAGTGCTATATTTATAAAAATTATGCAACGCTGGAAAAAAGCTGAATGTTGCGCTTCGCTCCACTATGAGATACAAGACAGCCTATATTTGGCTGCAGTCATACTTTACACTAACGAACGCCAATGTCCGCGAGGGTAGATTTGGCTGAAAATTCGCATCCAGGGGTTGCTTGACTTCGACTGACTTGAACTTGAACTTGAACACGAATATCACATTGGCTCTTCTTGAAACTGCCTGTTTTGGCGCTGGCGCCAAGAACGTACTGCTTCACCAAATTCGTTGAAAATCTCTACCCTGAGGTAGTCTGGCCTCCTGAACACGAATTCACATCTGTAGTGTGCCAAGATGGGATAGAGAAAAGCAGTTCACATGACAGCTTGTCTGCGCGCTTCCCACAAGCCCTTTCCTCTCCTAAGGCTGGCCTGGCCTGAAGAGAACCATCCTTCCCCCCCCCCTCTCTCCCCTTCCTCTCGACAGCTCTGTCAGAGAAGTGAACTAGGGGGTCTTATCAAACCAGGAGATCGCATGAACTCGACCAAAATCCCCAGCTGATGATGTGTCCTGTTCCAAGCTCGGCCTTTCCAAAGGATGAAATGGCGTCAGCGCGAAAAACTAAGGTGATATTCGTGATCAGGATATCAATTAACCCCAAGTTTTCAACGATTTTGGTGGGAAAGATGGTGGCGCCGAATTAGCGCCCAATGGCACCAGCTCTAAAAAGTAATGTCATATTCGTGTCTTAGCTTCGGATTACCCCGTTGTCGAAACTTCAGCCAAAAAATTCGAGTTTCAGTGGTAGGAACAGTTCAAAGTGCCTGGAAAATTCTCGCAAAGTACAACAGAAATTAGCATACGGACCCCTCGCATACTACCTACCACCTCTCCAACTACCACTGGTTACAATTTTGGCGCTGAACAAGGGAGGGAAGCGGATTATCACCTTCGCCAGCAAAGGGACAGTACAGCGGGCGTAAAAAGGAAAAACCAACATTCAAAAAAAATTGTCGTAGCAATGCGACCCCTTGTCGCCAGCTGCAAAGTATGGCTCTATTTCTGTTATGCACTCTCCCCTTCTCCACCCCGTCGAACCACATTAGAGTCTGGTTTTAACCAGGCAAGGATTCTAGAAGATGAAGAGATCAATTTAGCCAGCAGTTTGTAAGATATCACATATTTCACTCTACCACGAAAATAAAACTGTAATGCGTTCGCAATGGGAACAATTAACCGCGGCCCCTAGAAATCGATGAAACTGGGGTGACCGTTGTTCCAGCCAGGAATAAATCACCACCTCCGCTATTCATGTATTTGATTCCCTACTCCATAGTATGAGCTCCTAATCGTAATCATTATAAGCCTTTGAAGAAATACACAGAGACGTCTCAAGGCAAAGTAGCGTTCATGACGGTCTTTGCGACATCGCCAATCCGCGGTTGTGCATTTAACGGCATCAAACTGAATTCAACTGTGAAAACAGGTCCACGTTTCACAATAAAATGGTGCGAATTGTCATGGTGATCGTATTTTTAGAAGACGTCGAGTTGAAGACTTCGCGCAGCTCATTACGACCAACGCGTCAAAAAAAGCAGCGCCTTTTGTTTTCGTTTCAAACAACTTACCTGCATGTTTTGAAAGAGGCCTTAGAGGATGACGGTAACCTGCATATGTTTACCGTCATCCTCTAAGACCTCTTTCAAAACACTACTTCGTTTCTGGAAACACTACCAGGTTTTGATTTGGTCAATATGTTGACAGGTCTAGTTCGCTGGGGACTGGCATGTCAGGCGGGATGAGTTTGGCGCGATGCCGAACCCGTCCTCATCAGCATCATATCGTTCGTGTCCTATTTTCTACCGACTGTTGTCGCATACGCGCTCAACGACTGGCAGAGAACGGGTTTGGCACCGTAGCACACTCATACCGCCTGACACGCCCCTTCGTCCCACAGTGAACTAGACTATAGCTGCTACATGAATACTCCTTTTCTTTATCAGGCTTTAACGTGATAGTGAAAAGCCAGCGGCAGAAGCTACCTATCTCCTAGCAAAAGATTTCTTTGTAAAAATAGCTGAATAGATGATTGGCTAGATAGATGGCTCAGCAATTCTACAGAGCCACTTATGGTTACGTCACTCTAGCAGCATTCTACTTATAGCTGAAACCGTTGACTTGTGGAAGAGATTAAGAGCAATCCTTCCTTTCAATGAACTGTTGAATTCCCTGATGTAAGTTCGTGAAACAGACGGTTTGGGACATAAGACTGCAGTGATTCAATTGCTTTGACGTCATGGAGAAAGTCAAGCCAATTAGCGAAGAGAATACACTCGCGGTTTGCCTGCAATATCTTGCCTCGTATACCCTGAACAATGCTCATTAACGAGCCCAACCGTTGTGATCAACCTTGAGATTTTTTTCTCATAAACTCAGACACACAACATCGAACGACACTATCAACCGGCTTATGATGTTAAACGTAAGTATGCTATGAGGCTACGGCAAAGCCGAGGTGAGAGGGTAAAAGCTGTCCCGTTGGCGTAACGGATAGCGCACCGCCCCTAAAGCGCGAGGTGCGGTTCGAGTCCCGCCTGCGGTCAAGACTTTTACTCATAACCCAGTATACTTGTGATGATTTTTTTAGGGCGAACTGTGGCGTTAAACAGCACCGATCACTATAGAACAACTTCAAGAAGCTCATAAAATATTAATAAAATATGCTGAAAAGTATCATTTCACAAATGTAATGTAAGAAACTGCAGCAATGAAAGCTTGAATGGAACTTGCAGGAATAAGGTTTACCTTGTGATTGAAATTCCAGCAGTTCCACAAACAACTACCCTCATAGTACAAGGAGATACGTACCAATTTCTTCTGATTTGTCCACGGTTGGCTTGTCTTCGATGAAGTTGCTGTAGTTGACGTCACACTTGTATGTACTGGTGCGGAGGTGGGTGCTGTAGAAACTGCACTCGGTGCGGAAGTCTTCGGCACAGATGACACAGTAGAGGGCGTTGCAACTGTAGCAGGTGGTTGCACCGACTAAAAGTGTTTCTCCTATTAATCCTCAATTGTTGCTGAAATAAAACAATGTGCGAAGCTAAAAAGCATACAAACGCTGTTTCATCGGTTATGACCCATCAAAACAGCGTCAAAACTAAACGCGCTGCTAATGCTTAGCGACTCATTCATTGGTCTCAATACAGTAACGGTTACACGAAGGAATGCACCGTCTGAATTAACTTCACCGCGTTTATAGTTTGCGGCTCGGCCGATACTGTCGCGCGATTCACGAACCGCGCCACTACTGCCGACCTCGCTCCACTGTTAGCTGTTGGATCGTGCACTTCTAATTTTACTGTATGACAGAACCTTCCAAAATAACCTTCTGGGTAGGCCGCTATCACCCCATATATATAATTCGCTTTGTCTGTTTGTTTGTTTGTTTTGTAAGTTTGTTTTGTCTGTCCGGAAATTCGGTTCGACCTGAAGAACGACTTGGAGAGGTCGGGTCAAGGTGGGGATGGGTAGGGCATGGGACAAGAAATAAAAAGCACACTTGACCTATGGGAAGCCCCGCCCACAGTGGGCGGGGCACTCGCCGAAAGTTTGGGGTTCCGCAGAAAAATGTTCATAATTCGCTTCCGGAGCAGCTTA